GAATGTTGAAAAGAGGACAAGGGTCTGAGGAGAAACAGGATCTTTGCATATTCACAAAGTATCTTCCCCAAGATATATACTCATTACAAAAGGAAAAACAGTAGCTTCACAGTAGAGAAAGCTGGCAGACACTACCTTAATCAAGTGATCCAGGGAAACTTCACCAGTAATAGACACATCAACATCAGGGACCCCCTGATACGATTCACTGAAGAGAGCATATCATGTCTGTGGTATTCTTGCCAACAATATGTCTGTGGTATTCTTGCCAACAACACATGTCCCCCATCTAATCAGGAGATAACATCAGACAAACGAAACTCAAACTGAAGGAAATTCTACAAAATAGCTTAGCAGTACTCATCAAAAGTGTAAAGCCATGAAAGAAAGGAAAGATTGCAGCAGCATCACTGACTGGAAGACTACAGTGACAAGACAACTCAACGCAAGCTGAGATTCTGGACTGGATTCTGAAGCAGAAAAGGACTTCAGCAGAAAAAATCCAAATAAAGTCTTTAGTTTAGTCTTTAAAACAAAACAATTTCTGGGCTCCACTACCGCCTTCAACTCAGATTCCATCTGGCTGGGGAATCTGTATTCTACATCTAAGCTCAGCAGGGTTCCAGTGACTGGTCAGACTTGGGAATCACCTGCCCCTAGAATCACTGCGGAGCTCCGAGGAATCCTGATGACAGGCCACCCCCAGATTACAGGCACAAGTACTTTTTAAAGCCCCAAAATGACAGCTTATCAAGCTATGTCTGATGACCACAGGCAAGTGGATCAACTCCCAGTCCCCTCTTGAAAACTTAAGTACACAGAATTGAAGGGTGTATTTCCTGCTCCTCACCTGCCTCACGTACCCTGAAGGAAATACTTTTCCAATCTAATTCCAATCTTATGACTGAATATTAGTCTATGATGGTTATGACCTCACGCTTTGTTAGAATGTAGAAGAAAGATGACAAATGACTTTTATAATCTCAGCTATTGCCCTTTGACCTGAGCATAGCCTGTATTCGCAGTTCAAGTGGAGCTCAGATACGGCTCAGAGAACGCGATAACATTCTAGAGATTACGCAGCTCTCCCTCCAGGTTTTCCTGGGATTCGCTTTATGCAAATTTCTGATACAGGTCTTTTCTACACAGACACGGGCTAAAGTTAAGATGGTACACCAAGAGCACACAAAGTTCTAAACACAATTTCATCACAGAGTTAAAACAATACTCTAATAAAATAAGACCAGCATATTGTTATTTCCACCCTTTGAAAAATATCTTCCCTAAATGTCGTAAGTTAAGCAAAGTAAGAGAGCTTAGACAATGATTCCAGATTGTGCAATAAGCTTCAAAGAAGAGACAAATAAAAAAGAAATATTTTTCGAGAACAAGAAGCAAAACAGTAAAAAATAATAAAAATTATTTTCCCTACTTTCAATTAGATAAAAAATAATGTAAAACACACAAATTATCTACTTTAGAATTGGTGTCTATAATCTTTTCTTCAGTAGAACTGGGTTGGTTTTGAATATTTAATACCTAAGATATGAATGTAAAAAATAATTTACATAAAAAGATAAGTGTTTTTCCAAGAGAGGTTAAGAATTTTATCCAGATCCTTTCAGAGAGTTGTGTCCAATTCCTCTAAATTTTTTTTTATTTATTTTCCCCCAAAGCCCCAGTAGATAGTTGTATGTCATAGCTGCACATCCTTCTAGTTGCTGTATGTGGGACGCAGCCTCAGTGTGGCCGGAGAAGCGGTGCGTCGGTGTGCGCCCGGGATCCGAACCTGAGCCGCCAGCAGCGGAGTGCGCGCACTTAACCGCTAAGCCACGGGGCCGGCCCTGTCCAATTCCTCTAGGCTGAACCAACGCCTGACGTCTTCAGACATCTAAAGACACAGTGATGGGATTATGACTTGTTTTTCCCAAATGCACAAAACTGACCAGCACCTGGATCAGCGCTAGGACACTGGGCTTATCCTGATCAATTGGGTGAAAGAGCTTAGCTAACTGGGAGTACGTAACCAGGACCGAGTATCTGGGCAATCTAAAAGAGGTAGTAGTCAGCCATTTGCTGGATATATGTCCAGTTGTCTTACAAACTCAGAGCAGCAAATAATTCAGACATATTAGTAAACGCTAACAAAAAAACTTATGAGCATCTAGCAAACTCAGTGTGGCACAAATATTTGCTGAATGAAGAGAATTTTGTTTTCTTTAAATTAATACTTCAGTCATGCACTCTTCAGTGTTGTACAGCTGTTGTGTGTATGCATGTGTTTTAACTGTAAGCCATTTCTACGTCTTTCCTTTCTAAAAACAGATGGGAGCATAAATACAAAAATGGATAAATAATTTTCAAACAGCCTAGACATATTTCTGGCCACAGCCTCTAAGCTACTTTCCCCCAAACTCCTGAGCTCATCTGTAACATCAGGATTAAAAGAGGCAAAGAAGTTGTGAAAAACAAAGATTTTAAGAGAATTTACTCCTCCAAACTGCCTAACTAATAACATCACTACATTTCTGTGAGGAAATGAAATTCTTTAGAACTATTTAATCAAGTTTGTGAACACTGTCCATGTTGGACTGGAGGAAAACGTTTGGTTTGGGACCCATTTAACCTAGTACTGTTGTAGGATTTCCGGCAGCAGGGAGTAATGACAAATGTGCTATGGTTTGGGGCAGCAGGGAGAGAGGCTTCTCCACCCCTCACGGAGGATTTCCTATCTCAGTATAAAGCACTCAGCCCCAAGCCACACGCCCCGCCCACAGGGTGACTTGCTATCTTCTACCACTGTTTATGTTACTAAATTTTGCTGTAAATAATATACAAAATTCTCTCTGAAAAAAGAGTTTTTTGGACTCAACCACACAGGTGCCCAGGTCCTTTGATAGAGGAGGCAGAGGGCTGAGGATGGAGAAGCACTGCCCTCAGGGCTTCCTGGAGTCCCCTGTTGCTGGTGAGGACGTGACAGACCAAGGTCAAGTCTCACTTCTGCCCCATGAACAGGTCTCATAACCTCTATGCATGGGGTCTCACTTCTAAGAATGGCCAGATGCCCCCTATAGTCCCTTCCAGCTCTAAACCACAGAAAGACTTGCTTCTAGAAGCATTTCTTAGGATTACAAGTTTTGGCTAAGAACTCCTGTCGTACATTCTGCCCTAATTTTAAAAAATGCAATCAAAGTAATTTAAAATAAGTGGGGGGAGGGGTGATAAGGCCTGCAGATTGTTTTGGAACTTCAGGGTATTAGAATATGAAATAATTTGGCCTTTTTCTTACCAAATAATTATCTTCACTTGTTTAAAAATTATGGAAATGTAATTTTTCAAAAATTCCCAATTTCTAACAAAGAATAGAAGTCTTTTCGTGGTTTTTTACATTATGAGATTTATACATTTACAGTCCAAATACATAAAATCATCTCCTTTAAAATGGGGACTTGCAGCTTCCAGCAAGAGGTGAGCCCAGACAGCATATGACTAGTAAGGAGTATCTAGGTCACTGAGGGCCTGGACCCTGAAAATCAGGATCCCTCGCCACATACACACCCAGATTATAAAGTCTAACTCGTACATAATCAGTATGGCTTATTCAGCAGATATCAAATTCAGTGTCCTGAACACAAACCATTCAGAAAAATCCAAGTTTCTCTTGGGGCAGGGAGGTGATCCACAGGACTCCAATGTTGTAACATCACCACAAAAGGTAACTTAATAAAATGCAGCCTAATCAAACACCAGTTGACCTCCCTCCAGAAAACAGCAGCAGTAGGAGGCATAACAACTTTTCCTGTGATGGGTGGTTTGTGTGTGTCAACACTACTCATTAAATGAATTTTTTAAATATTTCATAAGAGTCAGCTATGTTCACTACTCTCCCTTCTGACCTTCAAGACAAATGTGCAGGAATCCATGTGCATATACACTCGATACTACTAACATGCAAATGTCAAAAATAAATTGCCTCTCAGTGGCACTTGACTTCCATTCATATTCAAACAATGTCCATATTCAAACAATGTCCAGTTTCATCAGTTCCCGAGAACCCTGAACAAGTACACTTTTACCAGTCAGTCCAAAAGCAAAAAGCACACGAATGTGATAACATTTTTAAAGGTGACAAAAATTTTTATAACTTTAAAACTAACGTTAACCTGATTATGAGCCAGATTTTAGAAATTGTCTAATTTTTGACTTGTTTATTTTACATTTATTTTTATAAAAACATACTGTTTTCTAAAAAATACCCTTATCTCATTGCATTTACTTCAGACTATTTTTAAAGGTGAAGGTTCCACAGGTAGAATTAAATTATATTGTCCTTAATTCACCTGATTTTTTTCTTTAATGTAGACTGCTAGAACTTACACTAAGTTTATATGACTTGTTCTATTTTACATCTTCTAAGAAGAGAGAAAACTCTAGATAAACAATTAGCATTTTCCCCACATATTTCAAGCTTACAAAATTTTTTTGTTTGCAATCAGAGGAGAAAAACGCCTGCAGTCATTCTTCTCTGTCATATAACAGAGTAAAATGCCAGTTTCAAAATATTAGTTTAGTTTTCAAAAAATTTTGGCCAGGATACTAAAAACCATAAAAGTTTTAAATGTTTTTTATTCCTCAACTACTGCACTTGGATACAAAGAGAATATGAAACCATATACATTTTGTTTGAAACCTAGTTCAAAAAAATTCTCAGTTTAAAGCAACAACTTCATTTTTTTCCTAGGCAGAAAGTTATTATTTGTTAAATAATAAATAGAAAAAGGTAGAGAGATGGCATAGTGTGAATGAGGGAGAGCAGGTAGCCAAAGATTTCTGTTGAACATAACTTTTAAAAGTTAATAAAATCCATTATGATGCTACATTTTCCAAAGAAAAGGCATGAGGCATTTTCTTTTGGGGGTTACCCCCCCCCCCCCCCCTTTAGTACTATCCAGATCCGGCAGGCAAGAAAAGGGAATGGGACATTGGTGGATGTAACTCACCAGGATACCAGCAGGGGCCTTTCCATGGTGAACACCTTCAGTTTTACTTAATGAGCCTTCATGAACCTTCTCCTCCTCATCTTCACTATCATCTTCTAAGTGAAACATCTTAAAATTGGAACTAGTTTATTAACCATGTCTTTTTTCAGACATGAAGGTACACTTCTCAGCTATCAAAACAGAAAGCTGCTCCGCTGACAGACTGAGTGCAAACTGTGTGCACAGTAATATGGTTAAAACTGAAAGGAAATGGTTCTTAAAAAAAAAAAGCAATACACACACGACTTTACCAATAAGATTTGCTCAAAACACCTCAACCCCTTCTCTCTGAAGAAGATAAGCAGGGGCAGGGGACAGGCTGCGCCATGTGTTTACACTGATAGGTAACGGGTCCTGCCCAACCACATGGGACAGGGATTGAGTTAATGATTCTCTAAATCAATCACATCCTCATTTTTAGAAATAAAAACAGCTATACATATGAAGAGGTAATCTTAACTTTTTACTTTGTCATATTGGCATGACCCAATATATTTTCACAATTCTGGAAGGGAGATAGCCTGCTGAGCACTATAAATAATGAACAAATTATAATAGTAATTTATTATTAATATTAATGTTATTATAATATTAATATTATATAATAATGAACAATTTATTTAACTTCAATAGTATGACAATGCAACATTGTAAAATTCAAACATTCCTAGTACTTCCTCTCCAGCTCTCAGTAAGCCAACATATAGCAACTTCAAGTGAATTTTTTTAAAAATCTAAAACACACAACACATACAGACAAAATATTAATTTTTTAATTAAAATATACTATTTTATTCAAGCCAGTGTCAAGGACTATGCTGTTCATCACAAACAGCCATTAGCCACATGTGGCTATATTTGCAATGTGGCTACTAGTACCAGGTGAGCTGTGCTGTAAGTGTAAAATACACACTTAGAATGAAAACAGACTGTGAAATAATCTCATAAATTTTTATATATAGGTTACATGTTGAAATACTTTGGATATACTGAGTTAAATAAGATATAGTCTTAAAATTGATTTACCTGTTTTCTTTTCTTTTTACTTTTTAATGTCACTAGAAAATTCAAAATTACACATGTGGCTCCCATTATATTTCTATTAGATCACTCTACTTTAGGGCTTTGAGACAATCTTGAGAGCAGGAAGGTTGGTTAGGAAGAATATTCAGCCAAAGTTCTGCTAAGGAAGAACTGAAGAAGACAGGATTCTTCTTCATTTCATGAAAGTATTTAGCTAATTCATCAACAATATACTGGCTGATCCTTACATATTTAATGATGTTCACATTACTAAACCTTTTTCTCTATCTCTAACCATCACAAGACAAAATTTCCAAATGTTTCACCAAGTAAGGGGGGACTGGTAATGTTTACTACAGCAATATACCACCAAGACACATATAACGAAAATGTTAAATGGCAGAATTGAAAACAAATTTCACCAAAATTAGAAATGGGAAGATTTATCTTGCATTCAATGTTACACTGCTTGCTGCCCAGCCTACCAGATATCAGTGTGAGCCTCGAGTACAAGAAAGTGCCCATAGGCACTTGTTATCTAATTCAATATACATCATGTAGACAAATTCCTCCTTTCAAAAGAGAAGTGATTTTTTTTTGGTCTAAATATTATACAATGCATAAAAATTTAAGCCTCTTCCTCCATGTCCTACTGTAGTTCCACATCCCCAGCATCAGATGGTAGTAAAAATAAAATCAATATTGGGGTGCTTCCAGTGGGAAAAATGGAAGGAGAAATGAGAGGTCGGGGAGAAATGGAAGCAAGTAGGAGAGAACAAAGGAGATTAAGGAGAAACTACGTAAGACGAGGAAGGGTGGAAAAAAGAAAAGCAGAGGAAATAAAACTTGGAAGAGATGAGAAAATACACAGGTGGAATGACAGGAGAAGGGGAAAACTCTAAGTAGGAGGGTGGATGGAGGGATGAAGACAAAGAAAAGAGAAAAACTGTATCCATTGTAAATGTGAGGAAAGGAAGGCCCAGAAAGAGGTCAAGCAATTAGCCCAAGGTCACCCACTTAGTGGGCACCTGATGCTGGTTTGGTGCTTTTTTCATGAAGCCAGGCTGAGACCACAAGAGAAAGTGCTAGGGGAAAGGGGACGAAGGTTGACAGGCAAGAGAGAGAAAGGCCTAACAAGAGAAGAGAGGCGAGGTCCAGGAAGGCAGAGGTTGGCGGGTATGGACTCTGTTCAGGTAACCTTCGCCTCGAATGCCTCTTACACAACAAGCCGGCTCCAGGCCAGCCACTTTGGTTTCCTGCTAGTCTTAGTACTGTTTCACTGTCTGGATCGATGACTCACACAATGTTCTGACTGCAAAGACGTATGCACCACAGACCCAGCAGGTGAACTCATCTTCCAAACAGCTATTTCGCCATGGGGCACACACCTCCGGCTCCCTCCTGCGGTGACCTGTACATCACCTGACCCCCAGGCTAGTACCCAACATTCTGGTTCCAGCCCATCACTTGAGTGGTGGCACTTTTTGGACTTGGTCAATAAGAGCTAAAATATGATTTTTCAAAGAAAAACGTTACAGCACTGACTTTTTCTCTATAGGCTAAGATAAGAATAAATGGTTGAATGTTGAGAAAAACAACTTGTTACTTTTGCATAGCATCTTCAGTAATCTTAAAAAAAAAAAAAAAAAAAAAAAAGCAGTGGTGGAAGTTATGTCTTTTTTCCAGGACTTAAATCTCTCAAGAAGACTTAGGGAAACAAAGCTAAAATGCTAGTCAGGAGAGTCACAATCTTGTTCAGATTCCACAGCTGATAATAATGCTGGTAAAATATATACCTCCTTTGTTTTTTTCCACTACTAATCCCATAAGCATATGAGACTACGTATTATAAAGGGCTTTTTAAGAAGATGTAACAATTTATTTAAAACTTCCTAACCTGAATTTTGCATATTTGAAGTTGGGCTAAATTGGTTCAAAAGAAGTACCTTTATGCCACAAGTTATATTCTGATTTTAACGCAAAACATGAAAATAATCTACTCCCCCTAGTGGTCATACTATGGAATAGCAACATATTTCCATTGAACTACAAATGGAGAGATGAGAAAACTAAAAAGTTTTGATTAGTAAAAAATAATAATGAAAATATTTTCTAAGCTCTCAATTACAAAGAATTCACAATCTCCACCATAATTATTCTATAGTGAAGGAACTAAATCAAGTGCATTTCTGCATTTTCAAGGTCACTCATGACAAAGAGACCCACACACAAAAGGAACACAGTCACCTGAAATAGATTTCCTTGAGCCAGATGGCTCTCTTATCATTTACATTAATGCACATGAAGTTTTTCTTCCCATATCTGGAATTACTTATAATTCACTGTTTACCTATGTAAACAATCCAAAAGGGACCGATATGCTTTCTTCAAAACGAAGACAAAATCCCTCTTGATACCACTTTGAGGTTTTTCAAACGTTTGTAGTTGAACTGCTGATTGGATAATGGCTATCTAGTTTATTTAACTTCCAGTGTTTCATTACATCCCCACACAATCCCCAAACTAAACAGGACAGCTAGTACTAAGCTGTGAATGGATGAATAATCAAATACAAACAGGTCTTTCTAGGAACAGAGGAGAAAAAACAGAGAGTCTCTCGAGGTCAGAAGGCCCAGCTTAAAGTGACTCTCCCAAAGATAATCCTCTTGAAGACTTGTATTTTATCTTTAAAATCCATTTTTTAATATGAAAAACATGACTAACTGGTCAAAGTTTTCTTCTACCAAGTTCAAGAGCTAATGTATCACATTTACTGTATGACCTAGAATATCCTGTGTATACATCCCAGTTTAAGGAGCTGGGTGGGGACTGAACAACCTCTGAGGTTCAACCCTTCTGACACGAATGGTCTAAGTCAAGCTTTCGCCCAGTATTCTGAGACCAGAGAGACAATCGAGAGTGGCTGCCTGCAGCAGTCAAGTCTATCTATTTGATCATCAACAGAGTAAAGCTAATCAGCCCAATTAAGGATCAGAAGAATCATGGCCTGATTTGTGTCACACTTCCAAGAAAATAAAGCCAAAACAAGTGGGAAATCCTCTGCCCACTCAGGACCCCCATGGCAACTGCCTCACTGGGTGTGTGTGTCTATGTCCATGTCCTGTTAATCACAACTGCTTCTGTTTAAATGTTTGCCTTCTCTCCTCTCACTTTCTGAATAACAGTTTGCAATGGCCCTGTCCCCACGGTGACACTCAGGGGTGACACCCTAAGTATGTAACAATTTTCTGTATTATGGCTATGTCACTCCCATTTTGCTCACACTCAAGATACCCTGTTGAGATGCAAGTCATATTACTGTCAAATTTTAAAATAGTAAATAATTTGAAAAGTGTGGTGTTTTAATCTCTTCAGAAACAAAGACTTGGCTATAAACTCACAACTAACAAGAGCACAGCAGCGTATCACTACACTGAGTGAGGCCAAGGAAGTTACTTGAGGAAGCACAGTGTGGGGTTCTCCACTCCAGATCAAAAAGTGGGACGGCTTAAAACTTGCCAAAGAAAACTACAACGAATAATACAAGAAGGAGAGCAAGAACTGATGATATCATTAACACAATCCAATGAAAAATAAGTGAAAATTATCACAAATTATGAGATCAGCATCATGTAGAGACCCTAATCAGTCATACTCTCACACTCCTTAACTCTTAAAAGGAATTTCCCTTCTACAGCTGCTTCTGCACAACATTTCTAAAGATTTTCTTGACCCTTTGAAACACTGGTGATGGTTGTTTTAATTATTTTGTTGCTGTGATTTCACCTCTTTCAAACAATTACCTACAATTTTTTAGTAATCAGCTAGTACTCTCCTTCCTGCCCTCTTCTACCATCTACGTAAATAAACTGCAAAGGTTAGGTACTTAGAAACCAGGAATTCAGCAGTAATCTCTTGGATATGTAGTTCTTTTGGTGAGAATGTAAAAATTCTATCATATATAAAACTCATACAAAAAAATAGTAAATACACTACAGTCTCAAGAGATAAATGTACAAAAGACATAAACAATTGATATCCCATATGCATAATACCCTCAACAGTGAGAATCCACTCATGTCTTACAGCTGCTGCATGGAGAAGCCAGGATGTACAGCAGGGTCTCACTCCAGAGCCCATGCTTTTAACCATATCGTTGATGTTTAAGCTACAATTTGCTTGCTATCATATTAGCAAGCTTAAAGAAAACACCACCCAAGCAGTTGGGATTATCGTTTTAAT